TCAAAAGAAGACATTGATTGATAGGCACAGAAATGAACAACCACACAAATCACTACCAATAGTAACGTTACATACATATTAATTAATTTCTCTATGCATTGACATAAGTTAGTTAGTTTACAGTTCTTCATTATTAATTATTTCTTTATTCTTCTCTTCTTCATATTGATAGTGTAGACTCTTTAGAGCTGTTGTCATCTTAAAAATGAAGAAAAACAAAATGCACGTAGACAAATAAAATTAATATTGATTTAATAGTCCACCTACACGTACCAGAGCTTGAATCAGAATCAGCCTGAATAAATGTTCTTTGGTCCATTTACTCTGAGTGCTCTTAAGTCATCACTAAAAAATTTGTGATAACACAGCAAAATTATAATAACTGTGATGTCATATGACATCATTAACAAGACAATAACTTAATTCTTAATTAATAGTCAATACTTACGTTAATCTTCCCAGTCATATCGAAGTGAAGAAATTAATGCAGAATTTCATATTTATGATATTATCTCTTGGCATTATGCCATCAAAAAAGCTGAGAGAGTTCTAAAAAACCAAGTCAAATGAGAATCATGTGATAATGATAACATACGGATCTTTCAATCATTTGTTTAGTTTCTTTAATCCAAAGTAGTCAGCAATCTCTTGAAATAAAATTTTTATAAATATACGACTAAAAGAGATTATTAATGATTAATAACAGTCACATGATGGTCACATGACATACCTCGAGGAGTTCGTTTCTTTTTTATTTAAATGAATAAAAGAGAGGCAGGTCCAAGGCAATGCGTCAGTATAAAATAATTGCGCAAAAAAACTTTGAAGTATTTCAGAGTTTGTTAGTTTTTAATCTGTGTACATCAGTAGCATACTAGGAACAAATTAATAAATTAATAAAAAAATAAATAAATGCATTGATCTCTCTTACTTGTTCTTGAAAGGCAGAATCAAAGTTCTCTACCCACTTCTCCTCCAGGTGGCAAAATCTTTCTCCCAAAAGACCGTAAAACTTTTGATAGGACCTCTCCTGATCCTGACTACAATACTCAATTATCATCTTAGCAACTTCAGACTATAGGAAAGAGGTGCGGTTGGAAAGAAGTGCAGTTAAAAGGCAGTAAATTTAAATGGATGACATACAAACCTCTTGTCCTGGTTTCAACTCCATTTTAAGTAGCTTGTGGGCGCATTCTTCAAAGTCCAAACTAAAATAAATAAATAAATAAATAATAATAACTTTGTGTTTTTTTGAGATTTTATTTATAGTAATAATAATAATAATAATAATAATAACAATAATAATAATAAAAAATTTACAAACAAATACCTTGACATTATAATTTGATAGTTTTCGATATATTTCTTTCTCCCTCCTCCTCCTCCTCCTCACTCTCTTCCTCATCCTCACTCTCTCCTTCTTCATCATCCGAAGACCCCTCCCCTAGTATCTCCTCTTTGATTGCTTTGTATCTATCTTCATTCTCTTGGTACTCACTGTCCACTTTAAACACGTCTATAAATAGTAACAGAGTAAAGGTCAGTTATATAAATAGCAACACTGTGATGAGGTAATGCATCTAAAAAGAGCAACGTTGAAAATGGACTACACGTACCTTAAAGGTGGATTTACAATATTACGCTAGTCCTGACGTTACGTTGACGCTGGAATAGAATCTGGTTCTATTCCAGCGGAAAGCATGCGTCAAAAGGTCAAATCGCCCACGCTTTTGATTAAAAATTGACGGTACACTGGCCTAATGTCATATTGTAAATCCACCTTTAGTCTACTAAAGAATATAAAAAATAAAAAAAAAACAAG